GATAAGACCTTTGTTTTGACAAAGGGAAGATTTGATCTTCTAAACTAATCGAGTTGAACACTTAATGAATAAGCAGCTACCTTTGGTGTATTGATTTCCTATTGTATGAAATGATCCTTACAAAGTGCAATTGCACCAGTGATGAGAAAGTTGTTGCTACCTCCATCAAAATATAAAGAAAAATAATGTAGTGTTAGATTGAATCAACCTAAGTTGTCCTCTTGTGAATATTTGGTATAGGATTATGCATTAAACATGTTATGAGCACTAAGTCCAGAAAATAAATAAGGGGGTTTGTTGTTTTTAGATTTAAAATCATTCAAGCAGGAAACTAAGTTAGGAAAAATCAATTAATAAAAGATATTAATCTCTAGTTCATCCATATTGATTCCATCATAAATCCTCTTAAAAATCAACACATCATCCTTTCCTAAAATTAGGTTAATTAGAACAAGCGTCAATCAACCCTAATTCTTCATGCAAGATTAAGCAAATCACATGAGTTTCAACTCCTGATCCTTAGAATTAAGTAAACTTAGAACTAAACCCAGAATTAAGCAAACTGAGCTTTGAACCCTTGTTAAAAATGAATTAAGATTGATTAAGCAATAACTTCCATTTTATTCTTAACCTAGTTTTCAAGAGATTAGGGAAAGTAAAATTCATGGAAAGAAATTCATATTGGCAATCAAACGAAGATTTCAAGAATTTCTATGAACTTACTAGGGATTAATAAACGAAATATAACCTTGCATGGGAATGGAGTTCAGCATTTCAAGAGATGATGTCTAGTAAAACTATAGAAAATTAAAATAAATTAGAAAAGAAACAAGATTAAGTAAGAAAGAACCCCTAATTTGAACCTTTGGCAGTCACCTAAGATTCTGACCTAAAAACTCTGCAAAGTGTTTGTAATTAAAGGTGTAATAATGGCAAAAAGATTCCTATCCCAAAAGTGAAAATCCTATTTATAGTAAAAATAACGTTTCCTAGAGTGATCACTTTGGCTATTGATAGTGTTTATGCGCTGCCCATTACATTTTCTCCTCTATGTAGTGTTCACTTTCATTAGTGGAAGTGCTTACACATAGCGCGCGTAATTACTATGATCAGTGATAGTAAACACGCGTAGTTTCGCTAGGTTAAACAAGTCTATGCGTAATCACTATGAGTAGCGAAAATGATTACGCGTAGCCTCCCTTCAGGAATTGCTCTATGTAGTGCTCACTATTAATAATAGTGAACATGCTGGCTCTGTAGTGACTACTTTCACTTAACTCTTGGGAATAGCTTGTTGTAGTGATTACTTTGGATATTAGAAGTAGTTACTTTCACCCAATTTCTTCTCAAGAGCTCAACTCTACAATTATTTTAGTGAGTAAAATTGTAAAAGATAATTACAAAAAATCAACGTAAATTGAACCAAAAACAAGAAAGCTAAAATAATTGGCATAATTGAAATTTTTATGGTATTTACAATTTCTAACTTCATTTTTTTCATTAAAAATATATGAAAAAGACAAGTAAAATATTAACAAAATATGGATTCATCAACCAACATGTGCAAAATTTACTCCTTGCCTAATGTCGTGTCCTTTGGTGAGATTTAGATAGGGGCAACATAGGTAACCCATATGCTTTAGCTACAATTAAAATGAATGTGGGTTAGTGATTTATTCAACAAAAGCCTACGATTCTTTAGACATGTAGTTTTGACTCTTTCATGCAAAAAAATTATTTAAGATACTAGCAAGATAAGGGTAAAAAATACCTATAAAATCCATGATGAGTCGTCCATTTGACATACGTCTAGAGGGATGTTTAAAGTATGTTGATCCATAAGGGTTGTTGCTAGGCATGGTTGGATTGTAAGTACTAGTATTTCCAGTGTCACATAGAGTCACCAAAGTTGAAAATGGCTTCATATGAGAGAGGTTTAGCAAGTGAAATAATATTTCGAAGGAAACTACAAGTTAAGGTGATGCTAAAGAGAATGAAAAACTTCATGATATTGTTCTAAGATAGGAAAGGGCAACATGTATGAATGATTGGTACCTACAAATTGGAATTGAGGTTTATATATTCTCATATTAACAACTATTTTCTTTTGTCATACAACTGTTGTTTTAATTTTGACATGTTGTAACTATTATAATTCTAAACAAATGAGTCAGGAATTGTCATAAGTTATTTATCTAATGCAAACATGTTATTAAATTAGGTTTGTTAGTCCTCAATGTTATTACGTATTATTAATTATAGTTTTTTCTACTATTATTGCACCATACTTTTCTATAATAAGATTTATAGTTGATTAATTAATAATAGTTATAATAATTTCTATAAATACATGGGTCAAGAGTCTCTCATCCCATAATACACTATTTGCATTTAGTAGTTCTAATTTAGGATAAAATTATTATAATATATAAGTATAAATCCAAAATGACACTAAAAGTTCTGGAACTAAATATTTAATAATACGAAAAACACTTTTACTTGAAGAAGAAATAATTAGATTATTACTAAAAACTACTCAAGCATATTTTGTGTTCATAGGGCCAATAAATTAATAAACAAAGTCAAATTTCTTTTTTTAAATACTAACAGAAAATAAAAAAGACAGTTCTTTTATTCCTTTTATACTTAAAAGAGTAATTTATTTAATTTAATTACTTTCGACCAATAAAAACGTGATTTTTTTATGATAATAGTAATAATTTAAAATTAAAAAGATTATAATCAATTATACACTTCTTTCAAGTTTTTATTCATAAAATAATTAAATTTAACTTATAACAGAGATATATAATTAAATTTTAATTCATAATATAAATAACTTATAAAAATTAAAATTTAATTTAATAAATATAGACAAAAGGGTTCTACATACTTATATCATATCTTTTTTTCCTATCAAGTTTACATTAAACATTGAATATGATCAAAACTTATACTCTTATCATGTTTTATTTTTATTCAACTCTCTTATCATACTCATTTTGATCCTATCTTCACCACTAAACAAGTCCTACGGACACATTAGAGTCTGAGATAAGGGTAGATAGTATATGATAGAATAATATATCATTTTTGTTCTTAATTAAGTATTATCAAGTTATAAAGATAAGATTAATTTATAATGTTACCTATCTAATATTGCACTAATGTAAATTTTATCTCAAGAATAGAGTTGGGTTAATAAGGAAAGAAAATGATAATAATTATCTTCCTTAGACTAATCCTTATTTTATTCTATTACTCCTCTCTTTCTCTTTTTGAGTCTATTGATGGTAGGAATGAAAACAGGTCAGGTCAGGCCGCCAAGCTTTATTCTAAACAGGCCTGCCCTTTAACATAATTATTAGGTCTGAGTCTGGCCTATTAGCTGTTAAAGGCTTTATTTTAGAGCTGACATGACCTATTTAAGTGACTTGACCTGACTTGAAGCCTGTTAACAAAACTTATTATAAAAAATATATATTTTAATATTAATAAAATATAAATATTTTATTATCAAATTAGTTTATATATTTTTCTAATTTCTATCTGTTATTAATAATTATTAAATAATTATAATAATATTTATATAATTTTATAAATAATTTTTAAAATATTATTTAAGAATTAATTATAAATATTTTATATTAATAAAATTTATATTTATAATTTTCTTAATTTATTTTTAAAAAATTTTATAAATATTAAAGATCTTAGATTTATTTTAGAAACATATTTTGTTTGTTTAAAGATATTTTATATTCAACAAATAAAGTTATAGTAAACACATAAAATTGATCACAAAAAATAATATTTACACAATTTGTTGAATCAATTAAAAAAATTATTATATTTTAAAAAATAAATAAATTTAAACTTAATGTAATATATATATATATACATATATAATGACCATAATAATAACTATTAAATTATAAAATATTTAATTTTATTCGTTTTATTAATTTGTTATTTTAAATTAACAAATAAACATAAAATTAACTACACTATAATATTAATGTAATATAAAAAATATTACTGATACAATAAATTAAAACATATATTTATATATTACATATAAGTTGATAAATTAATTAACAATTTAACTTAACTATTCTTTAACTTGTTTAAATATTATTAAATAAATTTATCATTTAAAAAGTGTAATCGTGTATAAATATTTTGACAGCTCTATTTTTAAATTATAATATATATATATATATATATGTATATATTTATATTTATACAGGCCGGCCTGTCAAACTTAACAGGCTTTATAAACAGTTCAGGCCTGACTTGTTTACTTAAACAGACCTTAAAAAAAAAATTAAGTCTGATTTGTTTATTAAAAAGGTCAGGTCAGGCCAGACCTAAACCAAGTCAGGCCACAGGCCCCTGGCGGCCTGACCTGTTTCCATCCTAATTGATGGATATACATTGAAATCATAACTTAAGCAAAATTGGTAGAAATTATACACAGCAAATACGACTAATGTATAGGGATTACATGAGAAATCTCTAAAACAGCATTAAAATATCTATCATTAAGAAAACTCATTTTTATGATGAATTGAGACTTTGAGAATAGATGTAAAAGTTTTAATTCTAAAAATCATTTTTATTTTCATGTTATATGGATGTTTTACACCAAATTTATTTAGATGTCATTAACGAACTATAGCTAGAATGGAATAAAATATAACCCCAAAATATTATAAAATTAAATAATGCTTGTTAAAAAATTACCCTCTTCTCTTTTATTTCTAAATCCAAGTCTCAACTATACCCTATCGATACAAAATATGAAATAATGTAATTGTGTTGGTTACCAAATCAATGATCAATGAAATGTTTAGTTGCATTTTTAGTTCACATAATATAAAACTACTCTTCTTACTCAGAGTCTAGTTCTTTATGCATCATACATGGATATATTACACCAAACATTTAGATGTAATTACCGTAGCCATAGCTAGAATGGACAAAAATATTACCCCAAAATAAATACATGTTTATGCTTTCAAATTATTCAACACTCGAAGATAAACTATTTTATTATAATCAAATGGTAGAGGCAAAAGCAGTGGAGAATGTCTTCATTCAAAAGCAGCAGATGCAGGGGGTGGAGGATCAACAAGAAATATATCAAGAAGTTGATCAATGGTTGTGTACTTATGATCAGGATATAGCTGTGAAGCTTCAAGGTCATTTTCCCCTAACTCATAGTTCATCAGGTCCCCTCTAACAAATACACTGTGAATAATTGAAACTGGAATATTCTGTGGTGGGGGCAAGCCTGCACCACAATTCAAAAAGTTTACCATTCCTCATTGCCCATTCTTCAACATTAACCAAACAAAAATAATGAAGAAAGTAATCTAATTATTATGAAAAACGCAATTTTTTAATGAATTTTATTATATCTTCCTAATAATTTTTTTAATAATCCTTTTTCTAGTTTATAAAGTAATTTCGTGTACATTTATTATCTTAAGAATATGGAAAAACATTCAACAGTTTATTTATGCTGTAATTAGAAGAATTTGTACTCATAAAAATAAAAGAACTTATAACTTTTTAAATTAAAAGTCATGTGATTTTTAATTAGTTAATAGTGTAAAATATTTAACAATGACAATGTATTAAAATTAAACATATATTTTTTTAGGCAACATTAATAAAAAATTTCATATCAAGTAAAGAGTCTTACTCTGTGATAGGTTGACAATATCTTCCTCAGGTATACAATTCTTGTGAAAATTGTGACCACTTTTTTGCTCCCACAACCATATCAACTCATTTTGTGATATGATATTCATTGAGGGTCGGTAGACAACAATACGATTGCATGTTCTTGGATCGTTTGCCACTTTAATAGTGTATATGGCCACATCTTCTTCATAATTTAATACAGCTAATGAACATAATTTTCACATGAGATTTTTAAAAGAAGACTTCATCCAATTGCAATGTGTATTACAAATGCAAGTTTCATATTGCAAAACAAATATATATATATATATATATATACCAATTAATAAGTATTCTCATTCACAAAATTCTCATCCACAAAATTTGTATATTATAATTATTATAAAATTAGGGTTAACTCACTCCCAAAAATTAACTATACAAACCATATAAAGAATATCTTATCTTTATTTTTACGGAATATGAAACATTAAGTACTCTAAACGCTTGTTTGGTAATCAAATTAAGGGTGAATATAATAAAATGGCTATCATATCCATTTTTAGTCAAGTATTTATTGAGTTGCAAAGATAGAATTAATTTATCTTATTACCTATCCTACCTTATTAGACTAGTATAATTACTATCTTGAAAATATGGCTAGATAGAAAGGAAGAAAATGATAATAATTGTCTTTCTTAAAAATCTTTAATTTATTCTATTACATATATTTCCTCTCTCTCTCTTTCTTTCTCTCTTCTCTCAATTTTTATATATTTCTAAAAATATATTAAAATATTTTCTATAACTAAAACAAATAACTTATAAAAATTAAAATTTAGTTTAGTAATATAGATAAAAGGTTATTTTTATCATTTTTTTTTTTTTGCATATTTATATCATCTTTCTTTATATCAAGTTTACATTAAACATTGAATATAATAAAAACTTATCATACGCTTATTATATCCAACCCTCTTATAATATTCATTTTGATTCTATCATGGCTACAAAACAAGTCCTATGAACTCATTGAATGGCCAAGATATAAGAGTAGATAGTATGTGAAAAAATAACATATAATATATATTCTTAATTAAGTGTTTATCGAGTTATATGAATAAAATTAATTTATCTTAATACCTATCCAATATTAAACTAGTGTAAATTTTATCTAGAGAATGTAGTTGAGTTAATAAGAAAGAAAAATGATAACAATTATCTTCCTTTGAGTAATCCTTATTTTATTCTGTTACTTTTCTCTCTCTCTATAAATATATTAATAGTTAGTAATAACTTATATAGAGTAAAAACTTAAATTTAATTCAATAAATATAGACAAAAAGATAATTTTATTATTATTTTATATATTTATGTCATATCTTAAAGTTATCTAGTTCATTTCAAATATGAGATATAATAATATATATACTATTTATTATATTATCAAATTTGTATCACATATTGGATATAATAAGAGCTTGTCATGCTATCTTATCCTATCTATTCTTATTTTATTTTGTCCACTAAAGAAGTTTAAGACTCATTTCTTGATTAAACTATCATTTGAAGCTTGTTCAAGTAGTTAAAATTTATATGTATGGAGTTTAGATATAATTCATATGATATGTTTAATGGTACTTATTATTTTTCGTATTTTAGAAATATAAATTTCTTTTTAATCTAATTCTATAATTTTTCTTTCATTTTTTTATTAAATATTTCTGTTTTGAATTCAAAAGATCTAATCTACAGTACATGATATTTTTAGTTAATTCAAAATATTTAAACTATAATAAAAAGTGTTCAAATTTAATGACTTTTAAAGGTTAATAAAGAGTAATATTCACGGTGGTTATTTAATTTAATCAGCAAAAATATATACCTTTGACTTCACCGTTGCTATATAGGGCTACATCTTTCGTTTTCTCGTAAGGACGAAGCAAATAATTCACAAAATATGCAGCAAAACAATTTGCAGAGACAAAAGTATAAGGAATCCCAGCTGCTTCAATTTCTCTTCTAATTTGTCTTTTCTTGTCAAGGAAAGCTTGGAATGGAGGAAGAGGATTTATTCTATCTTCTTCCACCCCAAAATCTGATGGAAGGAATCTCTGCATGCCATGCCAATATTTAAAATTATAAACAATTGATTTAAGTAACTCCATAATACAAGGAAGAAAAGTACGAATTGAAAAACAGAAAACTGCAAAGATAAATGGATGATATGAAAAATGCAGCACCTTTATATTGCCGGCAACTTTGATAGCTTCTATAATTTTGAGTTGCTCGAGCACTTGAGGATATGGCAGTGCACATATCACAATGTCAGCTTGTTTAATCACTGCAACAATTTGGTGATGCTCGAGTTCTCCCTGCATCATCATCTCATTATTATGAAAATGAATACACAGTTCAAATACTAATAATGCATCATATATTTAGAGAGCGAAGAGGAACCTCAACAATGGTGACTCCCATGGAGTTGAAGTCCTTGCAAAGTTGTGTCTTAGAGAGAGGAGTTTGAGAGTTGAGAGGGCGAGTGTAGACCAATGTTGGATGCCCTAAAGAGACGCTTGCCTTCACTATGTACTTCCCAATGTAACCACTTCCACCAAATACAACAATCCTATTCTTCTTCCCCTCCATTTCTTCCCTTCTCTGTGCCTTTAATCTGCACACTTCTTCCAATCTTTCCACTATCACTCAGCCCCTCTTTATAGTGCCAAATCCAACACGCACACAACAGCAAGTCCAATCAAACATTGTATTTTAGATAAGCTTTTCGATTATAAGTCTATCTGTGTAAGAAATGATAATTTTTTTTTATAAATTTAAAATAATTTATATTTTTTATAAACTTCGAAAATGCTCTTTTATTTAATTTCTCAAAGTTTAAAGAAATAAACTATCTTTCACTTGTTAAAAGGTTATTTATTTTTATATTAATATTATTTTAAAAAAAAATTCTTACAAATTCAGTTAACTATATCCTAATTTTATCTAAAAATTTATAAATATAAATTTATCGTAGAAGTTTAGTATAGTAGTATTATTAAGAATGCCAATGAAGAGAATATGAATAGAGTTTATGATACTCATTTTATATCTACGTGAGACTAACTTTAACTCTTATATATGTACCTTCTAAGTATCTATACTTAAACAAAAAAATATATTCATATCATTTTATATAAGTAATATATATATATATATATATATATATATATATATATGAGTATAAGTGTTTAAATATTTTACTCATACTTATCTGTGTTAGAATTTGTAAGTATTTTTTTATACCTATTCTTATATCTATTTATTAAATAAATATTTTATCTATTATGGATAAATTTTATGGGGTAAGATATTTTATCTCTCTAGAATTAATGACATTATAAATTTTTAATTATTTAAATATAAATTAAAATACACTTCTATAATAATTAAATTAAAATATATAACATGAAAAAAAATTAAAATATATAATATTTATTATTTTAAAAACTTAAAATTAATTTTAAAAACTAAAATGAATATACATCAAACCTTAACAGATATAATTATTGGACAGTTTTATGGTACTTTATCAATGACTACCAAAAACGTAGAGGATTGACATTCCACATCACATCCTTACTTGAACGGGCACACCATCACTACTCCTAAATTGGAACCTCCCTATCCCTAGGGAGCTATCGCTAGGCCGACGTGCGCCGACTTGTTAGACCGAGCCAGGAAATCCAATCAAAGAAAGAATCAAGTACAATGCCGCATGTGAAGTAAAGTTGTACTACGTACAACTTGACCAATCAAAGATAATCCAACATTTAACATGCGATTCAATCATTCACATTCACGAAAAAGACATTAAGGTTAATTTATTGTTTTAATATTTTTTTAAAAATAATATTTTTTAATTTATTGTTTTAATATTTTTTTAAAAATATTTCTTATTTAAATTTTTTTTATCATATTAACACTTATTCTTTATAAAAAAATATAAAATTATATCATGTGTCATTATTTTATGAGTTTCTTATACTGTATAGAATAAAACTTAAAGAATTGCGTGTTATGTTATTTGGTAGGTTTTATTTATTATATGAATAAAAATTTATAGAATTATGTCATGTATCATCGTTAAGTAAATTTCATTATACTAAATATTTATTATTAAATTTTTATTTTATAATAAATATTTATTATTTAACAACATTTGTATGATATAAAAAATTACAAAATTCAAATATAATTTTTAAATATTTTTAAATATTATTTATTGATGAAATATTTATTTTTATAAATATAAAATTTTAATTAATAAATAATATCAATGAGGGATTGAAAAACATTGAAAATTTGACATTTAACACTAAAGAAAAGACTAGCAAAATTATAAAATATTATATTTTTTAATATATATTTTTAATATGTTTTAATTATTAATTAAATTAATTAAAAATTATGTAAATTTTATTCTTTTAATTCCTAAATTAAATATTATAATTTTTTAATTTTAATAAATTTTAATTAAATAATAGAATATAATTTTTTTTCAAATTAATTTCATAAATTGAGTCATACATAATACATAAAGCAATTCAATGAAATTAGTTCAGGAAACAAACAAAATTCATCAAATAAATACACATGACACAATTTATGAGTTTTGTCAGTATAGCAAACAAAATTTACTAGACGACGACACATGATATAATTCTATAAATTTTGTCTATATGTCAAACTTAATTAAATAATAATAAAAAATTATTATTTTAAAAATTTATTTTTTAAAAAATATTAAAAAATAAATAAGCCTATTTATACAATAATTTTTTATTAAGTTTCTTATAGTAATATATATATATATATATATATATATATAATTACAAATGAAAGATATCAATAGATTTAATGTATGATAACATTAAATATTATTCAATCAAATAGTCTGGTTCCTAGGGCTTAAAGATTAAAATATTTTTTTTTAAAAAATAATTATCAAATTAAAATTAAAACTTATTCCCTATCTAGGGTTTGGGGTCTTTTTTGGCCATGTCAGCATGTATTTTGTATACTAATCAGACGAAACTAATTTTTTTTTAATTTTAAATTTAATCATTTCGTCTAAAAGAGGGACGAAATACGCTACATGTTGACATTTGTCACTCAATTCGTGTATATCAGAGGCAAAACAATGGATAGGTGTCTTAATACTAAAAATTCGTCTCAATTCAGGACAAAAGTATAGGATTTGAACACGTGTTTAAATCTAATAATTTCGTCCACAAACAAGATGAAAAGGAGACTTATTTCGCCTGCTTTCAAGACAAAAAGCACGTCATTTCGCCTATACCCCAAACGAAAGCCCTTTTACCCACTGGTCCCTTCCCTTTCACTGCATCCTTTTATTCAGCCAAAATTTTCTATATAATGTTTGAAATGTGGGTCAAAATCAGCGTGAAAGTTTTAAAGGTGGGTCAAAATCAGCGTGAAATTGAAAGGGATATATCTAAATCTCAAATTGAAAGCGATTCCAACAGTTTGAAGATTGAAAGCAAATTTTTGAGGTTAGTAAATTTTGAAACTTTTTTTAATATTTTAGTTATTAAATTTTTTTAATTATTATAAATAGAGATAGTTAAAATTTATGAATATTTAATAAATATATTTTTGTGTATATTAAAATTAAAATTTAATATTTTAGATAATTATAAAAAAATATAAAAATTTAGTAGATATTTAATATAAACTTGTTTAATTAAAAAAATAATGTTATATTTATTGTGAATATTTTATTATATATATGTGGAATATGTATTAAAAATATAATATTTTTTATAACATAAAAATGATGTGAAAAATAATAATATGTTTGTGTGTTACAAATAAATTATTTATATAAATAAATATAATTATAAATAATTATTGATATATTTTTTTTTATAAATGCAGGATCAATGAGATTATTATTATTGTATATTAGAAAAGAAAAATTGTTGTTGGAAACGAAGGTGTGACATTTGAAGGTAACAAAAAAATCATAAAGATAAGAAGAGTGATAAGTTATATGAATTTAAAGAAAAAGATTCATGACAAGCTGAATATTAGTAATAATTATGTCATATCTAGAATAATTTATTGTTTTATGGTTGATTAAAGCACTAAACAATACAATGTATTAGATATATGTGATGATGAAGACTTTGATTGTATGATTAGTGCGTATCAACAACAAAGTATTACAAGTCTTATTGAATTATATGTGGATATTGCATTTGGTGAAAGTTCAAGAGGTGGGTCGAATATGTTGAACTTAAGCTTATCAATGTCACCGCCTAACCTTATGGAAATGGTCAATATAAATGTTACAGAAGGTATAAATTATATTGTTATAATTTATTTTTAAATTTTTTTTAGTGACAACATATATTGAATAAGTGTTTGTATTTTGAAGGATGTGGAGATCTATGCAGTTATGAAGATGAAGATGATGAAGTCAATAGTGATGATGAGATAGATGATATTGATGAAGGACATATTCCTTTAGACAGCTCGTCAGATACGGACATTGATGGTGATTTTGATTCAAACTTAAATTTACAACAAGAAAATGTTGGAGGTAACATTTAAAAAGTATATTAATTAAATTGTTTATTTTATTTTAATGATGAATATTGTATGTTTAAATGTAGCTGTAGGTGAAATACCTTTTTAGAATGTAAGTCCACACTACAAATCTATTAACTGGGATCACCCAGACCAAGAAATTGAAGCAGAAGAAATTAGTGAAGATAATTCATGGGTTATTGGAGATTCGTTAATGTGAGTTTGTTATTTGACTCAAAAGATGAAGTTAAAAATGCCTTAAAACAACATGCAATGAGAATCCATCAGAATTATTTTGTTGTTGAGTCAAAACCAACAAAGTTGCATGTGAGGTGTTTAAACCATAACAATGGTTGCCTATGGAGAATAAGAGCATCATTGCTTAAAAATTCAGTGAAGTGAAAAATAACAAGGTGTGGGAGTAAGCATACATGTCTCAACCCTACAATATCTTAAGATCATACCTAACTAGATTCAGATTTGATTTCTTCATGCATAATTGGTAAGTTTTGAATAATATCTGATTTCGTGATGTCTTTTCTCTATAAAGATACTTACCAATTTTTATTTTTGTTTTATGTAGGTATGGTTAATCTTGAACCATCATTGCCTATAAGTCTAATTCAAGAAAGGATGACAACTCAATTTGGATATAAAATTTCATACAAAAAAGCTTGGAAGGCAAAACAAAAGGCGATTGTAAGAATATTTGGTGACTGGGATGAATCATATGTTACATTGCCAAGATGGTTAGAGTACATGCAATTTCATGCTCCAGGTTCTATTTATAAGATTGAAACGAAGCCATTTGTTGTTGGACATCAGGAGGACAACAAATTTAGAGTATTTGAGCGATTGTTTTGGTGTTTTCATCAATGTAAGGAAGCATTCAACTTTTGCAAACCTATTGTTCAAATAGATAGAACATCTTTGTATGGTGAGTATCGTCACACATTGTTAATTGCAACAACACAAGATGGGAATAATTGTGTCCTACCACTTGCATTTGCCATTGTTGAAGGGGAGACTCTATCAGCATGGGAATAGTTTTTGGCAATGATTCGTGTCCACATAACAACCAAAACAGGAATATGTTTAATATCTGATAGGCATCAAAGCATCAAAAGTGTTGTTTCAAACCCACATATTGGATGGAAACCTCCTAATGCATACCATGTTTATTGCATTCATCATATTGCGAGCAATTTCAACCATAGATTCAAGAACATTGAATTGAAAAAATAGCTGATAAAATTAGGTAACATGATTTATTTCATATTTAGCTTCCTCTTACTTTATATTTATTTGAATTGTGAAGTCATGTAGAGCTTGTGCATTGCAGCATATATACCTTCGAAGCTTGTATTTGAAGAGAAGTTGAGAAGATTCTGCACTGAATCACAAGAAATACAGAGGTGGATCGACAACATATCGAAGGAAAAGTGGGCTTTGAGTCATGACGTCGATGGACGCCGTTATGGACATATGACCACAAATTTGTCAGAGGCTGTTAACAAGGTATTGAAAGGAGCAAGAAACTTACCTATAACTGCTCTTGTCAAATGCACTTATGGACGAATGGTTGAATATTTTGTGAAGCGTGGAGAGGACGCAATGAATGACTTGAACCATGGTAAGAGGTTTTGTTCAAAACTAATGCTAAAAATGCAGAAAAATCAAGAGGAAGCATCTTCGCATCAAGTGAGACGATATGATATAGCAAGAACAACATTCGAGGTTGAAGAGGCCTTTAATCCTATCACGCAAAAGGGTGGTAACAAATGGACTGTTGTTCTGTGTAGAAGATACTGTGAATGTGGGAAATTTCAGGCATATCGATTTCCATACTCACATGTGATTGCTGTCTGTGATCGGTAAGTATTGACTTTTGATAATATGTTGATGATGTTTACTCTGTGCAAAATGTCATTAATGCATATTCATCACAATGGTTCCCCTTGGGAAATTATGGTAATATTCTTACACGCAATGAGTGGAAGTTAATGCCTGATGAGACAAGAATCAGAGGTAAAGGAAGACCAAAATCATCTCGAATTAGGAATGAAATGGATTAGGTTGAGTCACAAAGTAGAACCTGATGTAGTAATTGTCATCAAATTGGTCACAATATACGTCAATGTACTTTTATATCACCTAATCAGTAGTATTGAGGAGTTTATGTATGAGACAGCTAGTCATTTGTTAACTATCAGCATGTGGGTTTGTAGTTTATATCCTTGGCATTTATATACTTGTACTTTATATCACCTTATTTCTCTTTATAAGAAACATCAATCACATCAGTACATGTAAATCGTACAATGAATAACATAAGTAAATGTTAATCGAACGATGATTAATATGAAACAAAGTACCATATGTCATAAAACATCTAGTTTAGGTACACAAAATATGTATAATTAGTTTATACAAAAACTCAAGCTCTATCCTCGTGCGGCTGGTCAGGCTGATGTGGGATCAATATGAACTCCCTAGGCCGATCTCTAACTCCATGATGTGGGTTACGACGAACCTCTGCAGGTGAAACATCTATGGTTGCTTCAAAGTCAACTTTCAAATCTATTCCATGACTATATGAGGTATCATATGATGTCCTAATAATTGCATCTGGTGCTGGTGCTGGTGGTGTTAGAATACATCATATGGAGGCGGCGTTGATGATCGTGAAATTTTCATTTCATTTTGCAAAAAGATTTATCGTCAACCTTCATCAAAATATGTAGAAAAAGTTTGTAGTATTTAGGGTGCAAGCCTAAGTTGTCTCCAACGACTTTGGTTTGTAATATACATTGAACATGTTGTGAACATTTACTATAAAAGCAATTAAAACAAGGGGGTTTTGTGTAATTCTAATTTTAATGTAAAGACAAGTGATGAAGTTAATAAATCCAATCAATGAAATATGCAATCCTTAGTTTGTTCATGTAATTCTATCCTTATCCCTCTCAAGATTCAATACTTTCACTCTTCCTCTGAATTAGGGTAACTCAAAAAGCAAGAATTAACCTTAACATCCAATACAAATTAAGCAATTTACATGGGCTCCAATCTCTCATCCCCAAGATAACGCTACCTTAGAAATTAACTTAGGATTAAGCAAACTAAGTTAAGAATTTCATTAAAACGAATTTGGGTTAATTAAGCAATGTCCCCCTCATTCAACCATTAATTCAATTCAAAGAGTTGAGAAATGTCTCCCTCATTAAAATGAATTAGGGTTAATTACGTGCACTCTATAATGTTTACGCGCAAGACCATTGATTTGGGTCTCTTTAGAGTTGTCACTTTGGCTTCATAGTGATAACGCGTAACACTCCAGAGTGGTTACTCACGCTCCATAGTGCTTACGCGCAGGTCCTGTGTTTTTGGCCTCTATGAAGTTGTCACTTTGACATCAGAGTGATAACTTTGGCTGCTCCAGAGTGTCTACTATGGTTCCATAGTAGCTACGCGCAAGTCTTGTATTTTTTGGCCTCTCTGGAGTTGTCACTATGGGTTCATAGCCATCACTTTGATCTGCCCTTCTGCATCTAGCTTGCTGTAGTGTTCACTATGGACTCCAAAGTGATCACTTTCATCTTAAACTTTCTCAAATGCTAAAAGTCCATGGAATAAGTCTAGAAACTCCTGTACAATTATTCAAATGATCAAAATTGCAAACTATATCTATGTAAATCAATGTAATTTAACCAAAAATTAAGAAACCTATGATAAATTGACCAAAATGATATTTTTATGTTATTTACAATTCCTAAGCTTACTTTTTCTATTAAGAAACATTAAAATGACAAGTAAAAACCTAATAAAATGTGGATTCATCAGGCGTCAGGAATGGTGATGGACATGGGATATAACACTTTGTGGTTAAGAATGGTGATTGAGGGGTATGTGGCGGATGCTGAGTGGCCTGAGATGAGTGAAAATATGTAGGTGCACTAACGGGTTGTGTGTGGAAAGGAAACTGTGAGGAAATATAGAATACTCCATCAGGACGCTCAGGTATAGGTGGAAGAGACCAGTCTGTCGCATGTACCTCTGTGCGTCTACGCTGTAATCCCCTGCCTTCCTTACGGTCCCTCAGTTGACGGACATCTACAAATAGATCCTCAGTATTGCCACTCTTTATTAGAGGCTCAGATAAAGAAATAGGTTCCATAATGCGGTTCAAATCATTCTTCAAAACTAGCATAGATTGACACAGGTCTCGCATCTCATCAAAGGTGAAAGAATCATGGCCATTAGTCATCAAGTAGTGGGCTCTCTCAAGTCCATCACTCTATAAAACAAAAAATATTGTATGTTAACAATGTCATTACAAATACACATAAGTAAATGTCTAAAATAGTTTACACTTACAAGTAATTATGAGACAGCTGTGTCTCTTGTCATCCAACATCTAGTGTGAGCTCTATACCACCGCATATACTCTGAGTTGAAACTTAGCTGACCAATCTGGGGGTCATTGGTCATGACCCAATCTCTCCTTCTCTCCCAAATGTCTAATACACCCCTTAGCTTCTCTTGCCAATTCTCTGTTGCCTTCCTACGCAGAGTCAAGTCATGTAGTGCATCTGGCTGATATGGGGCATGAGGTATATGTTGAACCATACCAAATTGCCGCATTACTCGATCTGGTTGGTGCCACTCACACACCTGAAAACATATCAGAGGCACGACAGCCCTCTACAACTCCATCCCCTCACGACATATAACTGGTAACGAATTAATCAAATCAATAGAATATGGTTGCCAAATTATCTGCACACAATATACATCATATTCAGGTTAGTTTTCATAATGATAACTAAATTAAAATATGACTATAACATATGGCGTGGGTGTTAATCCAGCTTTACCTCTTCACCAGTAAGCATGTCAAATTTATATCTATAATAAGATATGTCTTTCCTCCCTTTCCTATTCCTTTGATTGGCCAACCACCTACAAAAAGATACAGAGATTGTTAATACAGAAGGTATGTTAAACATATAAAGGAAATAAATATTTAATATTATCTGGTAGTATATGGAAGATGGAGTCGTGTGTGAAGCGGGTTTCCAGGAGCTACAAATGGAAATCTATCCCATGCCCACATCACAAGTAATGCAGCTAATCGACCTAAACCATGCCGATCAATGTTGGTGGCCATACACAGCTCTCTATACAAAAATCTCAATACTGCAAACCCCCAACTATATTCACCAGTGATAGCAAAATCCTGAAGTAAAGGTAAGTACCTCACTGAGACTCTCTACTGTTGGAGTGATCACTCAACATATAACCCCAATCAACCGCAACATATAAGCCCTAGCAAATCGGGTGATGTGTAAAGGATTCTGTGCATGCATTGCCACATGGGTAAAATGTTGGTCTAGCCAACTTGTCTTCAAGAAGCTACCAACAAAATCTGCACGTGATGGTCTAATCCCTAGGCTCTCCTCAAGAATATTAGCATAATTACCTCCAATAGGTGCTATCACAGGTCTTCCATTAATTCATAAACCTAACAACACAGATATATCCTGCAAAGTGATCGTACACTCGCCTGGAGGCAAGTGAAAAGTGTGTGTCTCTGGCCTCTATCTCTCTACTAATGCAGTGATCAACGGGAGCTCTAATGGGAACTAACATAGTGAGCAATCCCAGTAAATCTCGCAAGCTCTAAATGTGGAAGGATCTCCTCTGGAACACCATCCAAACCAGGTGGAATAAATTGACTCTTCCTAACCTTCAAAATAGGATGATCCCGACTATCCCAAATATGTTCAGACACATGAATATTCTGTAAACGCAATAATGAAGGATCATCTGGTCCAGGATGAATGACCCTATTCTCTCCTGAAGATGAAACCATCTACACAAAATATAAAATATAACATGATCAAAATTTTAAACTTTAATATAAATTATACAAAATATTTTCATATCATGCATCAAGTATAATACCCCAAACTATTCTTACTTCATCACATAATTCAAATAACATTTTAATCATTGTAATACAAATAAAATCAAATACAATTATTCATAACCAATTTTAAAAAATTTTACTAAATAAATTAGTTATTTTTTTATTAAATTTAACATGTCTTTTTAAAAATTTTACTAAATACAAATTTTGTTTATTTTTTAGTCATGATAAATTATATGATTAATAATTGATTTCAGCTAATTTGTATCACTCCAAAAATTTATATTGCATAACTAATCTTCTTATTTAATTAGAAATAATTTAATTAAAATTACTTAATCTCATCTTATTAATATCGATCTAAATTAAAAATTCAATAAACAAATTTATAATTTAATCATAAATAATATTACATATTTATTATTATAATTATTTATTCTATATTATTTAATATCACTCCAATAACTTAAATTACATTACTAAATTTCTTTTTTCAATATATACACTTATTATTTTATCATAAATAAACTTATATAATTCTAATTATTTATTTTAAATTATTTAATATCACTCCAATAATTTAAAATTATTTAATATCACTCCAATAATTTAAACCATAAACCATAATTAACCATAATTAAATATATATTTTTTAATTATTTAATAAACTCAAATTTTTGCTACTATAATCTTTTTATATAAATAAATATGCTTAATTTTAATGCTCTTAATTTTTACCTTTTTATCATTTTTGTAATTATCTGTTCATTAATCATAAATCAATCTTTTTATTTATATTCTTAAATGTTATTTAATCTAAAAAACATAATTTATGTTATAATTTTGTTACACTTTTTTCTATTTATCATTTCTTATATAATTAATCAACCATACAACTATTTTATATTTTTCTATTTTCAATTTTATTTAACTATTTATTATTGATTTAATTATTTTTTACAATTTCTAAAATTTTTTACTTCAAATTATAATTATTCTAAATGCAAACTCTAATTTTTTTCTTAATATTACTATTAAAATTTAATTATACAAATTATGATTATGTTGATATATCTACAAATTTTTAATCTAATATTACTCTAATTTTTAATCTAATATTACTATAAAAATTATTTTATTCAACCGTTTACTATTATTAATAAATATAAAATTTAAATTTTTTACAGAAATCGAAAAACCTGGATGGGGAGGGGGCAGGGGACGGCGGCAGCGTAGATGACACGTTTTTCGGTGATGGTAGGTTCCCAACGACGGCAACAACTCTACTGGACTGTAACGTCTCTCTGGCGATGACCTCCTATTCTCCGTTCAGCCCGTTCTCCCTACTTTCTGAAAGTTTCAGAACAACAACACCACAAATTACTCCAAACCCAATTGATCTGGACAGTCTTGTGCAATGTATCACGAATCGCACTCAAAACTCACTCTAAAATGATAAAAAAATAACCTCAGCAAAGGTCCAGGTCATCAACAATGGCGGTTTGCGGAGCGTTGTCAGGCCGGAAGAGGAGAAATGAAGGAGGAGCGTCAGTGACCTCCCGCCAGAGGACACGTGGCCCAATCAAAGTGTTTCATCTCTGTGTCAGACGAAAACATTTATTTCAAAATATTTAACCCTTTTCGTCTCATCCTTATACGAAACTACTGCCACGTGTTATGCTCCAGGTATTTCGTCCATCTTTAATATGAAATGATCAAATAAAAAATAAACAAAATTGATTTCGTCTGACTTTTATATGAGTTTATAGCTGACGTGGCCAAAAAATGGCCAGACAGGGAATTGTTTTTTTTTAACACTAATTTGATAATTATTTTTTAAAATTGCATTATTTTAATCTTTAAGCCGGTTCTTAGAGTTGGATGATATCATACCTAATTTGAAGAGTGTGTGGGCCATAGTGAACTTTCATGTATAAAATTCAGAAATATCAACGTCCACACGGAAGTCTCCTTTAACTAAAGATCAAGTATCTTAATGGTGAAATTCTTATTCAAGTTTTATTTTATTAATTTTAATCTAATTTTTAGTAATATATTATTTAAGCAAATTTTAACTTTAATTTTATATGTTATTAAAAACATTATTAACTTATTTTTTTTAATTCTACAATAATATAAATATGATGTATTAAAAATAAAATAAAATTTTGATAGATGTTTTTTCTTGCAATATAAATTGAAACATTATAAAAACATTAAAATTCTATAACTCAATTTTAAAAAGAAAAGAACAATACAAAAGATAAAAGTTAAGATAATATTTAATTTTGCTTATTTGAACAGCTGAAATGTTCATAAATAAGTTACACCAAGTCTATTTGATGTGAAGATGAATTTGCTTATGATGAATAAGTGTTCTGTTTTGACGATATGTTACAACTTACAAGATTAGTTTCTCTTTGTAAGTTGAAATTTAAGAGTGTAAGAGAATATGATTCAATTTCCATGGACGATCCTTTCATCTCTTTTTGTAATTGAAATTTAAGGGAGGGGTACTGATTTCTTCCCTTCTCTGAGCATTACCATTCCTTGGTTCTAAATGATTTCATAAGCTAATACTTTTCAATTGTGGGTTGTTTTCACTAGATTTCTAGAATTGTAGTTTGACTCCTCACAATATGAACATTCTCGATCAAACTTGTTTAAACTCACTCAATCCAATTATGTACATGATTATTATGCTCAATTCACAACTTTAGCTAATCTTGTATAGGGAGTCACCACTAAGGCTCTTCTAGATTGTTTTGTAGGTGGCCTTAAACTTGACATATGTAAGGATGTAATTACACAATCCCCTACCACATTGATTCGCTCAGTGTCCTTAGCTAAACTCTATGAAGAGAAATACCTATCCAAACCAAGAACACATAACGCTCACTTTCAGACCAAAACACAAGCCCCAAGCATGAGCCTACCCTTGATCCAAACACTAAAATCTTCTAGTCCTCCACCCTTATTGCCTAGCCATGCACCTCTTACCATTATGACCAATTAGAGAAACACCAATATTGAAATATGGCATTAGCTAAAATGTAATTACGTAGAGAGAAGGGATTGTGTTTCGCATGTGATGCAAAATTTTCCCAACCCATAGGTACCCCAATAAGCAGTATCTGTTGTTGCACTTGGCAGAGGATGATAATACTGAGGTCCAACCTAATCCTCTTGACATCTCAAATATTTTGGAGAATTTGTCTATGCTAGAGCATCACCTATCTTATAATGCTTTAAAAGGATACTTTGGAATAGGTACCATGAAGTTCCAATGATTTATCAAAGGCATGCGGGTTTAGGTCTTACTTGATAGTGGTAGCTCAGATTATTTTTTGCAGCCTAGGATTGCTCAGTGTTTAAACTTCCAGTTGAGCCTATGCCTAATTTCCATGTATTAGTTGGGAATGGTAATGCTCTAGTAGTTGAAGGATTGATTAAGGAGTTGAAAGTAACAATTCAAGGGCATGCCTTAAAGCTACCTGTGTTATCTTTTACCTATTTCTAAAGCTGATTTAGTCTTAGGAGCAGCTTGACTAGTTACCCTGGGCCCTTACATTTCATATTATAACAAATTGACATTTAAGTTTTATTTGGACAATTAATTTGTAATTTTACATGGAGACCAAGCCAAGTTACTCAGTCCAGCTTAGTTCAATCACCTAAGAAGAATGTAACGCAATATTATTGATAAGTTGCTGGCCTTGCAGATTGAACCTTTTGTGTCTCCATTGGATTGATGGTTAGAACAATAATTAGCTATGTTATTATATACATATAGGAAAGTTTTTGCGATTTTAGCTAGGCTACCCCCTCATCGGTCTCAAAACCATGTAATTTTCTTGCAATTAGGAACTGGACTTGTCAATGTTAGGCCTTATAGATACCCCTATAGCCAAAAATTGCAAATTGAAAAAATGGTTAGAAACATGTTGGATGAAGGAATTATAGTCCTTAGTATTAGTCCCTTTTCTTCACCTATTATTTTGGTGAAAAAAGAAGATGGTACATGGAGATTTTATACAGATTACACGGTCGTCAATGTCATCACTTTCAAAGACTGTTTTCCTATACTGACTGTAGATGAACTCATTGATAAGTTACTTTGTGCTAATTTTTTTCCAAGTTGGATCTCACATATGGATACCACCAAATATTGGTGAGGGACGAGGGCAGATATAAAACTGCATTCAGAACCCATAAAAGCCTTTATGAATGACTTGTTATGCCAATTGACAAATGCCCCTGCAACTTTTTAGAGCCTCATGAATGAAGTATTTCAAGGTATTCTCAGGAAGTTTGTCTTAGTCTTCTTTGATGACATCTTTGTTTATAGCTCCTCTTGGTCCTTTCACTTGCAACATTTGAAAGTGGTTTTGAAATTGTTGTAGCAGCACAAGTTGTTTGCTTGAATGTCCAAGTGCTCCTTTTGATTACAATAAGTAGAATATCTAGGTCACATTGTTTCTAGTGAGGGTGTGGCAATGGAGAAAGAAAAAATCTAACCAGTGTTGAATTGGTATGTTACTCTAAATTTGAAGCAATTGAGAGGGTTCTTAGGACTTACAATATACTACAGAAGATTCATTAATGGTTGTGCTTCTATAGTTGCCCCTTTAACCAATATTTTAAAGAAAGATAACTTCATGTGGGAATCACAAGCTACCATAGCATTTGATAGGATTAAAACAACTATCACTAAGGCCCCAATTTTAGTTCTTCCTGGTTTTTCCAAACCATTTATTTTGGGAACTGATGCATTTGGGTCTAGAGTAGGTGCAATTTTAAGTTAAGAATCTCATCCTATAGCATACTTCTCAAAGAAATTGAGTTCTATAGTGAAAAAACAATATGCTTGCATTAGGAACTTCTATGCTATCACAAAAATAGCTAAGTTTAGACAATACTTGTTGGGTTACAAATTCATCATA